CTCAGGACTGAACGAAACAATAAGCAGTAGTCAGATAACATTTGTGGCGCAAACGCGTGACAAATCGATAGTCGATTAAAACTTGCCCCTACGATCACTTAGCAATACCGAGTTTGCAGTTGCCTTGGTTTGCCAGTTTCCTCGATCTTAAGGCTGCATCTGTTTCTCTCCATTGCCCAATGATGTGGAACATCTTGCGACGTTGAAATGCAATGGGATACTTGAATGCGTCCTTTCCCCTTTGGCAGAGATGTGTGCAGAAAGCACGTCTGTTGTCGTTGTCGAAGGGGAACTATCTGACTCTTTCCTATTGACGTTAGGTTTGACAGGGAGATGAGTTTTCGCCTTTGCAATTCAACATTATCCTCGACTTTTATTCTGAGAGAGTTCTAACCTTGACAAAGACGAAAGTCTTATACTGGAGGGAAGGTGCAGTTCAACATATCTGGCTAGATATCTTGCTGTCTTGAGTATGCAGATGATATCGTCCTGTTAGTAGTACGGGGAGAGGTATCTGTCACCTAACGCACTGTGTATTCCACACAACTGCAAGAGCCAGACGCTTCTTTAACATTCGCAGGTTAGGTGAAATCCAGTTAGTTCACAAGTTATGAGGAACTCATTCAGAACCGCTGATTTACAAGTGAACAGCGAGGCAAAGCGCTTAAGGAAGTTGACCAATTTAAGTATCTCGGCTCTATCATCTCTGGCGATGGTATCATTCAACCAGAGTCAAATAAAAGCATCGCCTGAGTTTCGAGTGCTTTTGGAAACTTGTCAAGTTTTATGGCGGAGAATGGGAAATCTTTTTCCGCAAAAATTTACCATTACCTTGTCTCTCTCAGATGAATGTTATCGTACGCATGGAAACACTTGTTCAAACGAAGGAGCAAGAACGACTGTAGAATTATACAGAGTTTGCTTCGACACATAACGAGACTTAAGTGGCATACATCGTAAAGATTGACTACTCTGTTCTTGGCACAGTAGATGTGAGGATCAACAAACTGCTCCAGCCCCTAAGCTTCTCGCTGGGGGAGGAGGGCAGAGAGAGATTTGCTGTCAGAAACGAATATTTTATTTGACCATGCTATCACCGGTGCTTTATACTAAATTTTTGAAAGTCTGACAATACGACAGATGTCGTAAACCCAAGACGCTCTGCTTTATGCAAACAACTCAGTTCTTGAAGCAACCGCTAATTTAATAAATAAGGAACTCATAATCAAAGACAAATCGTTTTAGGACTAACTGCTTTAAGCAGACTAAATAATTAGCGTACTCTGCAAATTCTGATGTTTTCTGTATTGGTTTGCAGTTCACCAGCAAAAGCTTTGACAAAACCTTTTATTTATTAATTAAACAAACAAATTGTTTCCAAAACTGATTTGGATGCTATGCTAATGTTGTATCACAAGTAGAGCTGGTTCCAATTATCGAAGTGGCTATATGTGACAGTGACTCAAAGCGGCTATATATGATGATGACGACGTAGGTCTACGGTATATCCACATGACTAACAATCTCATTTTCATAATGGAACATATCTCTGAAGTTTAGACAGCCTAAGTCTGGCAGCGTCCTGATAATGTATGACAATGATGACAACCAGGAAAGGTATCACTAATCTGGGTGACACTGCTGTTCAATCGAGACAGACATCGATCATTGGTAAGACATAGCTTCGTAATTCAACAGCAGTCACACAGCTGAACTGCGATTGGTGAGGCCGGCGCATGCTTTGACTGATCAAGCGTCGAAACTTTTGCAAGGAACCGAACGTTTTATTCCTGTTGGCTCACAGGTGAAGCAGGGAGAAATATGTAAGAATAGCTTCAGGCAGTCCGACACATGATGAGACAGAATTTATGTCCTTCCTGCTGCCATGGATCGTACAACTGATCGATGTCGCTAAGGACATTATTCTTTATGTGTTTTGACTCACCGAAGGAGTGACAAGTACGTCATGTTCTTCGAGGTAACTTAGCGAATCAAGACTGCATTCACTTCGTGGTGGCGTCGTGACACAGTGCCTAAGAAGGACGTTTTGAACTCTGAAGTTGGCGGGTTCAATTCCGTTGCCTTATCCACGAATTCCCTTGAGCAAGGAATTTACCACAGACGTACGTTGCTTCAGACCAGCGTGGCCCAGTCGATGGAGTATCGAACTAGAGGTTCCGGATTCGAGCCCAGGTCTGGATCATTCGCCATTTTTCTTCTTCTGAAGTTGATAAATGAGTACCACTCTGAGGGAAAGAAGCAAGAGATTACATGTTATGTTTGCCACAGGACTGTAGATTTTGTCTTTTTAATAACGTACTACCGACTAAGGGTATAGAAAAAATGATCAGCACCTGACCATTAACTTCAAGAAATGAAGTGCACAAGAAATAACCCTATCAGGAACATGAAAACATTCTGAGTAACAACGGCATTCCAACGGTCTCACACTTTCCTTTCTTCCTTGTCATTTCCTTGCGAGTCGCAGACCTGATCAGATATGTCCTTTCTTTCCGATAGAATTAGAGACCCGTGAGAGCAGAAGGGTTCTACTGTGCATAGTCTTAGTTCGCGAGACTGAGAGCGATGAGGATTCATGTTTTTCATGACTCTTCTTATTATTTTCCGTAGAAAGAATGTAATATAATGCTAATAGAAACTACAAATGAAATAAATGAATAAACTTCTTTTTGTGCCGACTGAATCATCAGTCTGCAAGAAGGAAACTGGCAGTTGACGTGCGTTTAAGGTGGTCTACCATTCACAAGGAACGATAAAAGAAAAGGGAAGTTTTTAATCGCTGTGATGACTGCTCTGTGACAAGTTCATGACTGAGCGCCATTGGTAATACAGTTCTTTTGTCGAGCCCATAATGCGATGGTCGCTAAACTCCGTTGTCCTGTCACATGTCAGATTACCACGACTACCAAGTTGCTGTTTTACCCTAAAACCATGACTACAGCTAGGTGATTACTATAGTAAGCAGTCTCGAGCTTTCTCCTACTTAGTGGTATTAAGTCCTCTACCTCTGAAGAATGAAAGCCGATTGACCAGATCGCGGCTAAAACCCAAGATTTCTCGATTGTGATTCTGATCGTCGACTGACTGAGCAACGATGCACAAGTTGGAAGATGTCGATGTTAGCATAAGCCCTAAGAAGTTAAAGTTCTTACCTTCGTCCACTAGCTTTAAGGTAACATTTATGGCCGGTGCGGTACCACAGAGCAGGCGACCTTTGACTGCCACCTTCTGTAGCGCTCCGTTGGAACGAGCTAAACATGTCCACGCAAAGAGCAACAAAGAGGACACCAGCAACGCGTGCATTTCGTCGAAAGGTTGAACAGGTTCTAGCGAACGGGTACGTCGACAGAAACGCTTGCTCACCGGTTAGATCATGCGATGAATGCGGTAATGTGATGTAGTTGCTGCTCATCTGTCAAAAGCAACCAACAGCTGTTTGGTCCGTCAAACAGAACAAACGCTTGGATCATGTGTCTCCAACCCCTTATTTGTTATAGCGCTGCTTTGAAGCGTGCTGCACACAGTCAACAATGTGTGAA